CAGACTTAATGCTTATGGCCATTGGAGGATTTATGGCACAATCGGCTAAATAGAGAAAGTTGATGAAGCTTGAGTCTTGAAAGCTTGGGCATGAAGGTGTGATGTCTTGGGGCGTCTAGAATCATTGAACAAGTCTCGAAAACGCAGCAGCTTTGACAGGGAAGGAGTCGTTGGCGTTTTAATGCCTCATGTGTGAACACGTCCAAATAAGGTAAGTTGAGATACAAGAGGATTCGCCTAATCCTCTAAGTGCTAGAGCATTGTAGGGCCTTTGGGGAAGCTTCTAGATCATTATAAAGGTCTCATGGTCGCCACAAATACGTTTGATCTTCACCAAACTCGTGAGACTCCACATAAGGCAAGCCAAGAAACCATTGGTTTATAAATAGTTATTCTTTCAAAAGAAGACCGTTCTTGGTATAATTCCAATTCTCCAGGAGTCTCTGATGAATCCAAATTCCAAAACAAGTTGGTTTATAACTTAATTCTTTCTGGTTAGGTTGTAAATTCCCAATTAATGCGCATATGTCCAAATCGGATAAGTTGGATATCACCCAGTTTGTAAATTGAATAACTCCTTTGTCTGAACTCCAATTAGACTGATTCCAATTCTCCACGTTCTTATGATGAGTTGAGAATCCAAAAAAAGTAGATTTGTCGATTATTTCCTCCTTGGTTGGTCGCAATGATTCAATGAGTGGTCATATGTCTCCATCGGGTTCATTGGTGGTCTGCCAGATTGTATCTTCAGTATCTTCTTCATTTGGAAAGCTTTGGAGATGATTCTTCTTCTAGCGTGCTCTAGATGAGAGGAGAGTGTATTCCAAATGTTTTTTGAGATTGAATGTTTTGTTTTGGTCTCCATTTGAATTGAGAACATCTCGCATATCTCCTTAGCTTGTCGTGGCTCCATTCTTTCCTCTCCCCGTCTCCTGATTCTTGCTTCATGGCTGATGATGACTTTATGTCCTCATCATACCCTCTCTCATGGAAAAGTTTCGTCCGCGAAACTTTTTGACCTGCACCAATATTGAGCAAGTTAGTATCTCGGTATAGATGCGAGTCTAGAAATTTACCTCAGGCAAGAACTCCATTGTGGTTCTGGTGGGATTGGATTTGAGCATCTGGTGGCTCTTCTTTGATCAGTAAAGAGACAGTGACTCCTCCCCAAGGTTTGTTGCTGACTTCCTTTGGCAGAAAGGTAATCGTCTTTGTAAAATCCCATTGTTCACACTTGGTGGCTCCATTGTTCTTTTGCGGTATGGG